GCGAAGAGATGTTGCATCCCATTACATTTTCTATCCCATTTTCCACGGGGAATAACTTAGACGAAGTATTTGGATTAATTCCACCTGCTAAATTCCACCAACGCACATCGGGACTAAGCTCACGGTATCATCCACACCATCTGGATGCTTGGCGGTCCACAATAACTGTGGAGTATTTACTAGCAGTTTTCATCCCTGCAAGACTTCTTTCCGATCCGTCACCAGCGATTTTTCCGGACCGATATGACTTAGAGATATTCAAGAAACAAGCTTACTCCTTTTAAAACGGCAGATAAGGCACCTGCAATTTCTCTGGTGTTGCAGTGGATCATGAGCGACAGTAGACATTTCCTATATCAGGAAAATTTGATTGAACGTGGGCGAAACAGCGGGGTTGGAAGCTAGTGAAATATTTGTGGGTTGAGCAGACACAGACAGAAAAATCAGTCAGTCACTGCTCGTTACACATAAATTACAATTAAAATATTATGACATGAACAAGCTCTTTGGTTTGTTGGAGTCCTAGGTTAGTAATAGGATTCATAAGGTTCGGATAAATGACATAAAATCTATAGGTTCTGTTGTAGGTACAAATGGGGTGCCACAGGAGTCTCTTGTTGGGCTATTTTTGTTTCTTTAATATAGAAATGATCTGCCATTCTTCATTTTAAATCTTTTTTTATTAAAAATGGGCTCACTCTTGACCGAGGTGGGTCTACTATGAAGCGAGTTTGCCCAGGAGAAGCCTGTTAACACGCACCTTGAAGAGGTTGAGATTATATGCACTCCGAAAAAAAGACGCCGAGAGAACATTACAGTCTTTGGCTGTACGCATTATGAATAACAACCAAGTGTGGATCGTACCCTGCAGTACTTCTGGTACTTCAATAGCAGAATAGAGATGCCGGTTTGAGCTTATGAAGCTCATGGGCACACTCTCAGAAGTACAATTTGTAGAAGACCGCAAACGAGCAACTTGGCGGCGGTGAGCTCAGCCGTAAAGCTTAGCTTCCATCAGCTTCTTATCGCCGATAACCCTTGGTTCTGCGTTGCACTGAGTCGAGCACGGCAAATGTATATTTTCCTGAGCTATCCCAAAGGTGACTAAAGTAGGTACTCTATGCATGTTCTGACTCGAGATTTATATAAAGTTAGAAGCTGTTTTTTTGGCCGCAGTTTTTTCTTTCGATTCAATGTTAGCGCCAAAGTTGAGGTTAGCATTTAACTGTATGCCGAGAAGCTCGAGATGATCACTAACCTTTACAGATATACCTCGGAAAGTAGGAGTCAGATCAAACGGACTCCGTTGACTTACTAACATTGTATTGTATTCCAATGATATTTCACTCATATTTAAGGTCAATCGGAAAACTGAGAACCTTGAAGTAAATTGTGCTCTAAATAAGATTTTACACCGGTTTTTGGCAAATAATTTGGCACTAAGTATATAGGCATTAACTTTAACTTTCAACTTTTTCTGCAGCCATGCAGACATTGAGCTAGAGGAATTAGCTGAAGCTATAAAAACCAAAAGGCTAACAGCACTACCATCATATAAAATAGACTATATTATTATCCTCCAGACCGAATTTCATTTGCACAGGACAGGATCACTTTACACGAGTGTGTGCATAAGCACAAGGGCAAACTCTGTCCCCACACTCTCCACTGTAAACTGCAGAGGGTTAGAGAGAAAGGGAAAGAAATCGGCGGATGATACGGACGATATCGATTAGCACTGCATTCTGCATTCGAGCCTGCGTCACGGAGTCCCTGTCACCTCAGATGACCCGAGAAACACAGGGCAATGGCTTAACTTGCTTTTCGATTCACGGGTGGTGTAACACTACGGGTTTTCTGACACTGGACTTCCTGCTAATGTAAATTTTTGACAGAAAAATGCAATAACTGTTTTTGATCCAGTTCGAGATACGAACTCGGAATCACGCGATTAACAGTAATGATTACATCCACTAGAGTCACTAGACTAAAAAGGCAGTCAATTACTGCAATATTAACTGCATACAACTGAAATTAAAACCATTGTTGCCACATTTCTGTAAACACATTACTATACGTGGTAGAGCCACTTAAACACATTATTTATTATACATGGTATACTCACGTCGACCGGGGAAGGACCACGCTCTCACAGAATACCAGCGTAAAATAGCAGCTCTATACCTCTGGGTTTTGTATGGTGAGTGTAGAGATCCGGAGATCCTTTTTTACTGGAAACGAGGCATTCCATCTTAGTTCTCACAGGTGACAAGGCATCTACGTTTTGATTCCTAATCGTGGATAAATGTAGATATCTATGGGCCACAGCATCTACTTACCATCAGGAGGACTGTGTGCTCGTTTGTCACCCTAATTCTATAATATAAAAAATACTTTAAGTTGCTCTTCCGCAAACTTTTAAAAATGTCGCTTAGATCATTTTGACTTTCACCCCTCGATGTTATTTTGCAGTGACACAATACTGTTACGACTAGGTTACGCGCTTTCACTAAATTTGTTTCGAGTGCTGGTTTTACAAGGAAAGATAAATTGCCAGGCTCGTGAAACATTTCAAAAATCGTTGCGTGTCGAATAGAGATTTTAGACTTCAATTTGTCAATGTTTGAAGCTAGAACTCATTATCTTTTGACATATTTAGATAAGTACGTCGTACACGATACTTGGAAATAGTTTCCGATTCGTAACAGTAGAATTTTGAGAGCCGTGGTAGCTCAAAGGCTTAGCGCACGCTGTAAATTTCACAGTAGGCGAGCAACCCGGGTTCCATCTCCGCCGGCATCATTGAAATTATTAATTACAATTTTTAGGGATGATTCACCACGTAATTAGCTGTTGGATGTATGACTGTAACTTTGACTTAACTTTAATAGTAGAATTTTTAGATGTTTATATTGTTCACGTTGCGTTGCTTAGATAAATAAATGAAGAAATTTAAAGAATAAAATAACAATAATTAAAAAACCCGACTACGTAAATAGTTTGTTGAAAAGACAAAAGTTTTATACAAATTTATAGTCTGTGTCACTCCCACAATTGACACGAATCTAACGATCAATTTAGGCTACAGAGCGTGCTAAAGAAATAAACATACATACATTCAGTCGAAGAACATTTCACTCGTTCGCAGTCGGGTGAAAAAGAGTTTGAACATTACAATTAATTGATTACACAATTGGCACAGCATCATAGATCGAACTGGTATGGCCGGCGAATTTTCCACTTAACATTTTTTTTTATAAAATAATAGTGACGAACGAGCACACCGTCCACCTGATGGTAATTGGATGCTGTGGCCCATAAACATCTACATTTACCTTCAATTAAGAATCAAAATGTAGATCCGTTGTCACCCCTGAGGACTTATATGGAATACCTCGTTTCCAGTAAAAAGGGTCTCCGGTTCTCTACACTCACCTACTCCGGTCGAGCCGACCCATTCGTGCTGCAACCACACTATAGCTGCAGCGTGGTTCTACCACGTAATAGACGAAGAAGTGCATACCGCACTCTCCTGGGTATCGTAGTGGCGTGTGATAATGCCCAAATATTATGAAGAAGCACAGAAGTCACAGCAGTAGCATCCCATCACTCAGAGCAACAGCGATGAATCCGCAATAAATTTTCTCAATACGAATCAAAGCATAACGAGCTATTCTACACTTTGGTTACCGTCACAGCTTATAAAAGTCAACTCCTGAAAATTGCCATAGTTGCGCCTCCGCAAGGAGGGTTAGATGGAATATCTAGCATACCGCCCAACACTCCCCCGCCCAAAAAAAAAAAATTGCCATAGCCATATTAGAGACACACGCGCACAGTCCACTCGATTGTAAGTGGATGCATTGGCGCATAGATATCTACATCTATCTTAGATTAACAATTAAAATGTGTTGTCGCTTATTGATAGATATGGAAAATACTGGATGGTATTTTTTACCGCCTGGAAAAAATAGGGTGCAACTTGTGAACGGAGTGGAAGCCTATGGCACTGACATTTTACAAAAAAAAAATTGAAATAAATAAATAAATTTAATAATATCTATCGAAATTCAAATCGTATCCACCTCAGCTTGTGCGAATGCGGGCCAAAAAAATAAAATATCAGTGCCATGGGCTTCTACTCCGTTCACAAGTTACACCCAATTTTTTTTTCAGACGGTAAAAAAGGTCAACTAGTATATATTTAGAACCTTGTTACTTATCATTTGTACTTTTTTTCTAAAATAAAGTTGCACTTACCGCGATTTTTATAGTAGGGTGAAGATATATTTACATCATTGACTGCCTCGTTTATTATTATTTTTTTTATAGAAGAGGGGGCAAAAGAGCATGCGGCTCACCTGATGTTAAGTGACTACCGCCGCCCATGATCACTCGTGACTTAGTGGTCGTAAACGACATTGTTTATCACGAGGTCCCGGGTTCTCGAAGCACGTGTCAGGCTAAAATTATTTATTGTGATTTTCTGTCAAGAAATCCTCAGTACGTGCCCGGAGTCAGGAAGTTGACGGTGTATAAAGCCGATGGCTTGATCTCTTTCCGGGCATGTCGGATTGCTGATGTGTTTTGTCAACCGACTTCAGAAAGAGAAAGAGGTTCCCAATTCGACTGTATTTTTATGTGTTACCTCAGAATTTTTTTCTAGGTGAACCGATACGGATGATTCTTTTTATTTATTTATAAGCTGGTGCTTCTCATTACCACACGGAGTGTAAGGGGCTGGAAACAACACCTTTACCAGCCCAAACGCCAACCCCACCTGCACGTGGTACACTCTGCTGACCTACGGACGGGGCTCTGGCGACCGACGTCTGGCGGGATAACCAGACAACGCTTCATACAGGCAGAAATACCCTGTATACTGGATACAACACCTCCATAACGGGTTTCCCTACCTTGAGCGGGTAGGTGTTTTTGCGTCAGATGGCAATCGGCAATAGACTAATAAACCCCAAAAGCCAAATCTTTAGAAAGGAAACATGGAAAGGTTACGTAATGCATTGAGTCTCACGGATAGGGCGTCGCCGCGAAACGACGCGCAGACACATCGCCCTAAATCTGCGAATAGTATGCTAGGGCTACCGAGTCAAGGACGGGCTCGGCTAACGACGTTAGTCCCATATCGTAACCTAAAAGTCCGCTTCGCTACCTTAAATGTAGGAACATTAACGGGGAAGACTAAGGAACTTGCCTCTCTTTTCAAGCGCAGAAGGGTAGATTTTATATGTCTACAAGAGACTCGATGGACTGGATCCAAAGCCCGTAATATCGGAGAGGGCTACAAACTTATGTACGTAGGTGCAAAGCATGGTAGGAATGGCGTAGCAATTGCTGTCAAAGAAGATCATCTTGAAAACATCCTGGAGGTCAACCGTATTAACGACAGACTCATGTCAATAAAGGTACTGGTGGAAGGTGAGGTACTAAATATTGTAGCTGCATATGCTCCCCAAGTGGGTTGTAGCCAAGCAGAGAAAGACAATTTTTGGACTTCCCTAGAATACATTCTTCAATTAATATCTCCTAAAGAAACTACTTTACTGGGAGGTGATTTAAACGGCCACATCGGAGAAGCAAACAGCGCTTTCAAAAGGGTGCACGGAGGTTACGCATACGGAACACTAAACGATGCTGGTAAAGTCATTCTCTCCACGGCAGCAGCCTTCGATCTTGCTATTGCCAATTCCTTTTTCGCTAAAAAGATCGAACATCTGATCACGTATAAAAGCGGCCAAACATCTTCACAGATTGACTACATACTAATCAACCGAGCTCACATTGGCCGTGTAACAAATTGTAAGGTTATTCCGGGAGAATGCGTCGCCCCCCCAACACCGTATTGTTGTAATGGACGTGCTATTCAAACGACATCCCAAGGAAAAACCAACTCAAATTCCTGAACTCACCAAATGGTGGAACCTAAAAGGTGAGAAAATTCCCGAGTTCTGTGAACGTCTTGCTGATTTAAAAGTTGATGTTAAATCAGATATTGACACCATATGGGAACATTTACGTAAGTCTATTATAACTACTGCAAACAACATTCTTGGCCGTATAAAAAGCGGTAAAAAATCCGACAGAGAGACGTGGTGGTGGACAGAGTAGGTGCAAGATGCAATACGGGAAAAGAAGGATGCTTTTAAGACCTGGCAGTCCACTTTAACCCCAGAAGATCGGGAAAAGTACAAAGAAGTTAAAAAAGTTACCAAGAAAGTTATAGCCATAGAACGTGCGCAGTCCCAGAAAACGCTTTATAGTAAGTTAAACACAAAAGAAGGCCAAAAGTGTATATATAAGCTAGCAAAACAGCGTTGTCAAAGCACAAAGGATCCGGCCAGGTGTAAAACTGTCAAAGGTCCAAATGGCGACTTGTTATATAAAGACCATGATGTCATAACAGCTTGGCATCATTACTACGAACAGCTACTATCCCTACCCCATCTAGCTGCCACACAACTTCCTGGATTGGAAGTGAATGCAGGACTTATACCTCCAATACATCCTGATGAGGTAAAGAAAGCCCTACACAAAATGTCCAACAAGAAAGCCATTGGACCTGACGGAATACCAGTGGAAGCTTGGAAATGCTTAGGTCTACGCGGACTCGTACTGCTAACCGATTTCTTTAACTGTATGTTGTTCTCTTCAAAAATGCCAAAGGCGTGGAGATTGAGCACTATAGTTCCCATCTACAAGGGAAAAGGTAGTAAGTACGAGTGCAACAACTACCGCGGAATCAAGCTCCTCAGTCACACCATGAAGCTTTATGAGAGGGTAATTGACAGCCGCATAAGATCCGAGTGCGAGCTGTCTAAGAACCACTATGGCTTCGTACCTGGATTGTCTACCACGGATCCGATGTTTGCTCTTAACACGATTGTCGAAGAGTATCGCGCGAAAAACCGACCATTATACGTTTGATCGTGTCCCAAGGGATACGATCAGGTGGAGCCTTCGTAAGAAAAATGTCCCCGAACACTACGTTAACATCATTGCCGACATGTACAGAGATGCGAGGTCAATGGTTCGGACGGTGGTGGGTGAGACCAAGTCGATAGCGGTCACAGAAGGAGTGCACCAAGGTTCTGTATTGAGCCCTTTTCTGTTTTGTTTGGTTCTGGACTCACTCACTGAAGCGGCACAGAATTCAGCAACGTGGACATTTATATACGCTGACGACGTAGCCATCTGCACAGACAGCCGCGCTCACTTGCAAGAGGCACTCGTGTCGTGGAAACATCAGTTACAGACCGGTGGCCTTGTGCTGAGTGTGGCAAAGACTCAGTTCATGTCCTTCAACGACCCAGATACAAACAACAGTCCGATTTCCATCGATGGACAATTGGTCAAATCGTATCATACAAGTATCTGGGAAGTATGATGAGCGGTTCTGGGGACTTGGAAATTAACATTCAGCACCGAATAGCCGCAGCGTGGCTAAAGTGGCGAGAAGTGACTGGTGTCACGTGCGATAGGAGAATGCCGGTCAAACTTAAAGCTTTAATCTATAAGATCATCATCAGACCAGTGCTATTGTATGGCAGTGAAACATGGGCCGTAACTCAAAAGAATATGCATACCATGCAAGTTGCCGAGATGAAGATGCTGAGGTGGATGTGCGGCGTTACCAAGCTCGACAAAATCCGCAACGAGTACGTGCGGGGAAGCTTGGGCGTGCGCGACATCGCTGACAAGATGCAGGAAAGTAGGCTGCAATGGTATGGACACGTGAAGAGGAGGCCACCCGACTACGTAGGGAACTTGGCACTACAACTTTCCATCCCAGGTCGAAGATCCAGGGGCAGACCCAAAACACGATGGAAAGATGTAGTGGTAAAGGACATGAGAGAGTGCGAAGTCTCCGAAAATGAAGTCGAGGATAGAGCGAAGTGGAGGCGTAAGACAAGAAAGGCTGACCACCACCATGTGGGACACATAGCCAGGAAGAGAGAGAGAGAGAGAGAGCTTCTCATTACCACACGCCCTTATAAATTTGATTAAGATCAGACCAGTAGTGTTTAAGTTACCTTTAATAATACGCATTTAACTGACTTCGATTACGTTAATGATGTTCTCATTTTATTTATATTGGAGTCGGTTTTACAAAATTTTTAATTTTACCAATTGGGGTGAGCTCGACCGGGGAAGGACCACGCCTTCACAGAATACCAGCGTAATATTGCAACGTAATTCTGATCTGTTTCATATGGTGAGTTTAGAGAACTGGAGAACCTTTTTACTGGAAACGGGGCATTTCCATGAAAAAAAAATTATAATGCATGTGGGTCACGAGCGTGTTTTGTAGCATTCCTTAAGTGGGAGGCATATGGGATATTATATTGTCAATGAAGATCATAATTTATTTTTACTTGATCGATTCTGTAATGTCTTTTTAGAACTTAAAGTTAAAAAACATGCATTAAATGTTTTTTAACTTTAACTTTGTAATAGCGAGAGATTAAAAATGATATTTTTTCCATAATAAAATATATAATTTTTTATCAGAGGTTTAAAATTTTTTCCGGAGCGTAACGATTTAGGGATCTTCAAGAAAGGAGCCTATTCTTTTTTAAAAGGCCGGCAACGCACCTGCAATTCCCCTGGTGTTGCGGTTGATCATGGGCGGCGGTAGTCACTTACCATCAGGTGAGCTCGCCCGCAGGCATGCTCGTTTGCACCCTCTCCTATAAAAAAAAAAACTAATGTCCTCTCTGCGATGACGAACTAGGCCAATACCTAATGTACTTCCACGGCTTATCATACGTCGCTCCCATAAACTTCTACAAAGTAAGGACCTGACTCAATCATCAACTGTTTGTAGGTATCATAAGATCGTCACTCTATCTAGTGGGACTCGCCAAAACTACACTTTCCTGGTCGAGGCTGCGATTCGAGAACAGTCGAGGTATATGGTTGGCCCATTGCCTTTTTTTGTAGAACAAGTGTGGCAAACGAGCACACAGACCACCTGATGGTAAGTGGATGCTGTGACCCATAAACATATACATCTTTGCTTGATTAAGAATCAAAATGCAAATGCGTCGTCACCCCTAAGAACTAAGTTGAAATGTCTCGTTTCACCATACGAAGCACACAGCATTGAGCTGCTATTTGACGCTAGTATTCTGTGAGAGCGTGGTCCTGCCCCGGTCGAGCCGACCCATTCGTGCTGCAAGCATAATATAGATGCAGCAAGCTCAACCACGTAAAAAACACCTCAGCTTACTGTCACTGGGTTATTTCAGTAACTCTACTCTTCTGCGGATATCCTCATTACGTATTTTATCACGCATAGATTCCGAGCATAGCTCATTTAAGTAATATATATATATATATATATATATATATATATATTATATAGTATACTTACTACATAATAGCACAGACACCAAAATATATGCGACAGCGAAGGGCGCGTTGTCGGAAGCACAGAGCACTTAATACACCCAATCGTAGGTACAGAGTACCTTTTTATTGCACAGACTAAGCAAGTTTAAACCCGTGGACTCCAAGGCGTGTTGCAAACAACCAAGTCTCGGCGTCTCCTCTACTGCATATTACTTCAATGGTTTTCGACTGCCTCGTTGGTCTAGTGGTCGTGAACGCTATTGCTGATTATGTGGCCCCGGGCTCGAATCCCAAGTCGAGCCTAAATCACTTATTGAGTTTTTGTCAAGAAATTTTCGGTAGTTGCACGTTGTCAGGAAGTTGGCGGTGTCTCACCCTCGTGCCTCTAAAAGCACGTAAAGCCGTTGGTCCTGCGCCTGATCTCTCTTCAGTCGTGTCGGTTTACCGTCCCATCGGATTATGAGAGTGAGGGAATAGAGAGTGCACCTGTGCTTGCGCATACACTTTGGCAATATAATCCTGTCCTGCGACGATGGCTAGTCTCCGTTGAGATTAGGCGCCACATTACTTCAATGGCGAAACCCTTTGCATTCAACGCTGAGTGACCAGCTTCTGCTGCTATCATGTTTGGAAATTGTTAGAAATAAAACAAAAAATGTTTTATGATGTAATAAGTTTTATTGTCTATATCTGGTAGTCGTTGGGATCGTAAAGTTCCGAGAGCAGCCGGTAGATGTAGGACGGTGAGCTTCCTCCACTGGAAAAACAATATATTGTTAGTTAGAGATTAGGATTTTATCCTAATTAAATTTTAAAATTTAGAAAGTTAGGAAAAAATTGATAAGTTACTCTTACGGGTATATAATACTGCCGTGTGTAGGACACTCTCCCATATTTGGACTCGTGGGGATCGTTACAGGTGACTATAGAAATGTTGGAGTTCCCATGGCTTATATACACAATTAGATCTATAGGCCCGGCTGCACGCTCGATATTATTAGCACAAATTCTAATTTGCACAAGCAAACATGTACGTAAATCTGCAAAACGGTATAGCGTGCAAATGGCTTACACAACTTTTTAATTTGCTCAAGCTAACGTTGTACGTTACGACAGCGTGTGGACGCTGTCTTAACGTACAACGTTAGCTTGACTTGTATGGTCGGACTTGTATGGGTCTGCGCTCACTACATCAACTCCGTACCATCACCGGATCGCTTCGCTCGCGAGGTGTCCACGCACGGACTGCGAGTTGACCACTCTATGATAGCTCGCTGTTGGCACGCTTGCCTCGCGTGAAGCGCGAGCTGCCAACGCGCGGTTCAAGCGACCACCAACCCTTCATTTCGAGCCTTTCTTTCAAATGTGTCGGATGCATTGTTGTTTGTTTTTAAAATGAACAAAGAAAAACTTATAGAAGAAGTTCGAAAGTATAGTTTATTGTATGATTTAAAGGTCGTTGTTGATTCAAAGTTGATCGAGCAAGTAGATGAGTTTGTATATTTGGGTAGCGTATTTAGCAGGGATGGGAGATATGATAAGGATATAGAACGAGTGAATGCAGGCAATAGAGTAAATGGGGCCTTACACTCTATTGTGAAGTCAAAATGTGTCAAAAAAGGCTACGTGCATTGGCAATTCACAGTACTGTGTTGGTCCCAACTTTAACGTATGGTAGTGAAAGTTAGGTGTGGCAGAAGAAGCACGAGAGGAATAGAATGAACGCAGTAGAAATGCGGTCGTTAAGGAGTATGTTAGGGCTGAATCTGAATGACAGGGTGAGAAATAGTGTGATAAGAGAAGAGTGTGGTTTGCAAGATGATGTTGTGACCAGGATTAAGAAAGGAATGCTTCGGTGGTTTGGTCACGTGGAAAGAATGAATGAGGAAAGAATGACAAAAAAAATTATGTTGCAGAAGTGAATGGCAGAGTCGGAAAGGGACGTCTAGGCGAAAATTTATCGACCAAATTGGCGATTTATTGAAAACGGGCCAAATTAGGAGCACCCTTAACCGACGAGCATAGCGAAGTATTGGATGTGAAGGAGGCGAGAGAGGTGTGTCAGGATCGTGCCAAATGGAAGTCCGTAGTCTCTGCCTAACCCTCTGGGTGACAGGCGTGAGTGTTTGTATATGTTATGTATTTAAAGGTCACTCGTTGATCACGCGAGGTCCACTCGTTGACGACGCGAGGTCCACTCCACGACCTCACGAGGTTCACTGGTAACAACGCGGCGTCCACCCGTGGTCCACCAGTCGACTACGAGTGGACGCCTGGCGACGAGGCGGTGAGGGTCGGGTGCCGGGTGGCTCTAATGAGCTGTGACCCTTAGATAGAAAACCTCGTTTCCAGTAAAAAGCACTCCACACTTACCATATGAAACAAAGAAGTATTGAGCTCCTATTTCACGGACGTATTTTGTGAAAACGTATAGACTGGGTACGGTTGTGACAATTTTCAATGGATCGCCGATAATTTTGTTAGTATGCCACTTAACTGGAAGAAGGATGTCTTTTATATTAAAGTATACATTTATCTACGTAAAAATACAAAAATTTTGCACTTATGTACAATGGTTAACTTACACGAGCAATTCAGGAAAAAAAAGGAATAATGTCACAACCGGTCACACCCCGGGGGGCGGTTGTGACAATGCTTGGGGTCGGTAGTGACAGGTTCAAAAATACACAAAAACAGTTTATAAATCACTTTTATTGCAAATAATATCTTACATAAGGCAACATAAATCTTCTTCTGGATAAATTGAACATTAACATAACAAAATAAATAAAGTCTAGGAATACTTTTATGGCTTAAAACAACTAAATAAAAAATATTACTGTAGAGTCTACAGTTACGAGTACTATATAACAGTCTTTAATTATAATCTAATCAGTATAACTACAAAACAGATCTATTATAATAGTCTTCATATTACAATCAGTCAAAAAACTTAACTAAACATTTCTAATATATTGGGGTAACTGTGTTAAAATACAAAGTAAATATTTATTCAAAACCTCTCCTTCAACA